CTCTCCTTGGTTGCAAAATGAAAAAAAAACAAGTGTGATGCCTGCTTTACGACTGCCGTTTTTTATATTTGTGCCTGGTGTACCTTCATTGTCCTGTTTTGTGCCAGACTGAAAAAAATCCATACACTGTGCCGAATGTCTCGGGCTTTCATGAGCCGATATTGTGTGGCTTTGGATGAACATTTGGATGAACACCCATCATCGACATGGTTTATGATTCAAAAGCGTAGGGAGTGAAGTTAGCCAAGGTTACCTAGGTCTTGTGTCTTGTGCCAAAATTTCTTTGTCCATCCGTATGGCAGAATTTTTGGGCGCACAGAGTTACGCTGGATACTGCACCGAAATTTCAGCTCAATCCGCCCGTTACGCCAGACATGTCGATGATACCATGAATTTTTTCAGTCTGAGTTCAGTGTCTGCCTTGTGCCTTCTGTGTCCTGCCCTCAGCCCTGTATCCTGCTATGTACCATAATACTCCCGAGCTTTCTGCAATCGGTCTGTTTGATGTTCCCTGATTCAGGCAGTGTATCGCGGATGTACAGGGGCCTCTGTTAGCAATGTGACATGATCAATCCCATTTTTCAGCTCTACAAGTGACACCACCTTAGTTGAAGCCGTGAGACGTCATGACGTGCTCTGGCGTCCTCAGGACAGCAACTACTTTAACAGAAATAAGAAGAAGCTAGCATGGGAGGAGGTGGCAAAGACCACTGGGAGATCAGGTAAAACTTACGCATCATATTTTGCTTGTACGTGTTGTAAATGGTGCCAACAGCCACAGGCTCTGCCACGTTTTTAGAATTGGGTTCTAAGCTTTAAAATGCGAACCCTTACACATCCGTGGTGCTTGTATAATTGTGATGTCTCTCAGGTAACAAACACATGTCGCTTGACAAAATAAATTTTCAAGGCTCTCACCAATTTTATTCCCTGCTTTTCAGTTCAGGATGCAAAATCGAAATGGAAAAGTCTGCGTGACTACCACCTACGCAAACGCAGGCAATTGCCAAGTGGCTCTGGCTGCCCGCCACCAGAGAACTCCTCCTGGCAAAAGGAAATGTCATTTTTGGATGATGCCATCAAGCCTAAACCGTAAGTTAACTGCAGTAGGATGTATGTCCTGGATTTTAGTGCACGTCCTGGATCTTTGCATTAGGACATAGAGATGAAAAGTCTTTTTTCAAAAATGTTGTATTCCAGTAGCACAGATCTTGCACATTGCCCAGTAGTGCTCCATTACTGGAGCAATAAGCATAAGCAATAAGCTTCACTGTCGTATTAATTAGTTGCTGTGCTGACTTCTGAGTTTTTTTTTTACCCCTCCCAGTCCATATCACTTTTCCATTAGAAAACCTGTTGTATTCCTGTCATGTATCAAATGCTACGTTCCTTCCTTTCCTATGCAGGGTAACGACAAACTTGACGCAGCCTGGAACAGGATCGCAATCCTTATTCTACTACACAAACCAATACTCCAATGAGGTGTGTAAAGTGATTTCTGGGTCACTCTAAATGATGATCCATATCCGATCTTGGGCGTTTCATGGCTCCTTTCAATGCAGTGATTTCGTTGGAAATTAATAAAGCAATGCCGTGACATGCAACAGGCCTGTTCTAGCTGTTTACATTGATTGTTTTTTTCTTGTTTGTTTGTTCATTTGTTTTTAACGAACAGTGTTGCCAAGTTTCATTTAAAACCTTTTGGTCATCATGCACCTTAACAATCGCCTCCTCAGGCCCATTGTTATTCCCAGACTCCGCCCTGTAGAGGAGCTAGTAAGAGGGTCTCTGCCCTGTTATTTACGAGACTACTGGACCAGTTTTCAAAGCCGGTCGAAATTCGAAATGCCCAAATGTATTCCTGATTGGAATTCAGCTCCCAAATAAAGGTTTTTGTAAGTTTTATAAAAGTAACCGAGATACGTTTTTGATATACTCGCAAAAAACCAGCAGCAGGGCGCAGATTAATCACTAAGATTTGAAAAGGAACTTACGTGACCTGGGGTCAAAATTTTCAAAAACGATGCGAAATTGATGTATCATATGCTATACCATGTTTCGCGGCGCTGCGCGCCGCGGTTTTCTTGAAGCGCGCAAACAAAACTGGCAAGTGTGGCCAAAACACGGGCACTCGGGCGAAGGTTAAGTACAGGGGTCAAAAGAGATCCAATGCTAATTAGTGTTATTGCGGCTGTTTAATCGTGATTTTCGGGGCGTTTTTCAAAAATGTTAAATTCGGAAGAATTCGGTCTAGGGTGTTCGGAAGAATTCGGTCGTAGTCAACATACAAACGAACCTTGCAATTGGCCGAATTTCATTTTCTAACCATTTTTGGTGACCTATCAAATATCTCGCATCAATCTTCACTCACGTAATCATCATGTGTTTCAGCTTTGTGTGTCTGATGAGGACAGCAGCGAGACTCAACTACCAGACGACAGTGCTGGTGAGTTTGTTCAAATGGTATGCAGCCATCATAGCATAATACGAAACTGCCACTGGTGGTTGACACCTGTAACTACGGATAGCCGACATGGCGCCATCTGGTTAAACTGACCTGACTTGACCTACCCCAAACGCATAAAGACATAATCTTAACCCTCGCCCGCACATGGGGGGGGGGTGGTTGCCACCCCCCAGGTAGTCTTTCTGCTCTGCACTCAACATTTTTAAAGCTAGAGGGCTGATTTTTCGTATAGCTGCTCCTCTATCCTTTCTCAATGTCCACTGAAAATTTGAAGTTTCTGTGATTTTTGGTTTCGGAGATATGACCTTGTTTTTCAGGTCATGTCATGACCCAAATGGCCAATTCTCAACATCTTGCGTTTGCCATGGGCCTTGTGAGCTTTTGACACCCTGATTTCGGCCTGTTTTGCCAGTCTTACCTCCCACCTATCATGGAACATGTTGTTCGATGATGTACAGGGGTCAAGGTCAGGGTCAAGGTCAACCTAGGTCATCTAAGATAATTGCGTTTTAGGCAAGCTGCATTTACTTTTTGTGAAGTTTTTTGACTGCATTTTTGGTAAAAGCTTCTCAGGTCATGATTTCATGTAATATGGACCCAAAAACAATCGGTGCACACATCAGTATACACACAGACACACACAGACATACAAACACATATAACTGACCTTGACCTAACTTGACCTGAAATGACCTCAGCAGCAAAATTCTGGTCGGGTAGTGTGACAAGCAGGTTCTAGCTGGCTTGGCACCAGAAAACAGCATCGTCATCGGTATTTGATAAGCAGAGCACTTGATATCCAACGGTGACCCAAAACACCAACATTTTTTAGTTTGACCTGACCTGGAAGGTCAATGACTGACCTGAGAAGGTAAAACTGGGTATCATTGGATTCGTCTCTTCCCAAAGAATCTTTTTGGTCTTTACCGCTAAGCTCTAATCTCCAACAGGAACGAAATGGCGCGGGGGGGTGGCAACCACCCCCCCCCCCCCATGTGCGTTCTAGGATGGGAAAATGGCATGTGCGGGCGAGGGTTAAATCAAAACTTACATGAAATTCGTCATTAGGACTCCGAAAAGCATAACCTCGTCATTTGACAACAACGTAACAAACGAGGACTCTAGTGTCTATCAGTGCCTGTAAGCCAGTCATACATCGATCTGAGCCTAGGACGGCGTGTATTTTAACTGCTCGTCTGTAAGCCACGATGATCTAACTGTGGTGTCCTGGTTGCCACCAGCAGCGAGCTGTGCCTCAGGAGTCCTCCCAGTTGCGACGCTCCTCGGAGGGCCTCGGATGTCCGCGGTGCCACCAGCAGCGAGCTGTGCAGTCAGTTCAGGAGTCCTCCCAGCTGCGACGCTCCTCGGAACGCCTCGGGTGTCCGCGGTGCCACCAGCAGCGAGCTGTGTCGCCGGCCCGAGCCATCCGCGCTCTTCTGGCACCAACGGCCAAGTCAAGCAGGTCAGGGGGCCGGGTGCTCGTGGCGCCGAGAAGCTTGACGCCGCCATAGCGTCCATAGAACGCGCGGTGAGCGACCTCCGTAACCCGGACCTACTATTTGGTCAGCTGGTGGGGTTGGAGATGGAGCGTGTGAGGGACGACAAGAAAGCGGATGCGAGACTGGAGATTCTTACAGTCTTGAAAAGGGCGCAGTCCGATTAAAAGCAGGTGATAACCTTCGCACGGGTGGGGGAGGGGGGACGTTTTTCACACATATTTGATAAAAAATGACCAGAATGATTCAAAACGATCTTATAGCCAGACATGTGCATGGATCCGAGAGGTGGATCTATGATCTGAGCGGATCTCTCGAGCTTATGGGTAAGATCTATGATCTGAGTGGATCTCTCGACACAGTTGAGGGGTTGGATCTATGATCTGAGTGGATCTCTCGACAAAGTTGAGGGGTTGGATCTATGATCCGGGTGGATCCCAGATCTAGATTCATGGGATCGAATTTCAGATCCATTTTCCCGGATCCATGCACATGTCTGCTTATAGCGAGCTATATAATGCCTGTTCGGCGTCTTTCCAGCTTCCTTTGATTCTGAGATAATGTGATGCGGCCAAATGCGTCCCCTCTCCATGCAACCTCCACCATGGCGAACTTTGCTGAGCCTGAGTCATATTCTGCGTAGTGTGTATTTCCGCTGTCTGATCGCTATAGCGACCCTTTTTCAAGTTTTGATTTAGGAGTGAATTCGTTTACCTGGTGTTTAAATGTTTGAGCTCCTTTGCTGTGAAGTTGAACTTGGACGTTACGTGGTTATCTGACTTTGGTTGTTGGAAAGGGCGACAGTTAATGTTATTTATTTCCACTACTTTCGCGTGCAATAAACGACAAAGGCCGGAAATGCTTGTATTTATATGACAGGTTTTTGAGCGTGACAAATGAAACAGCATTATCACACGGAGCAACACCAGTGGCGTCAAAGACGACTCAATTCCCGCCTCTCGCACCTCTCACTTGCCGACAGAAGCAGCCTGCTGCGGAACGGCTCCCCAGCCACGAAGTGACAGGCTTACACGCCCTCACTGCCCGACAGCAGCATCCTGCCAGGGGACGGCTCCCTCGGCCATGAAGTACCGGGCGAACTGGTCGCGGATGCGCTCGGCCTCCCGAGTGAAGTTGTTGGCGCCCAGCCTGCCCAGCTCGCAGAGTCCGCCCACCTGCTCGCCGCTGGCGTCGGCCTGCTGCGGCTGCTGGCTGTCCGCCTGTCCTTGGTCGCGCACGTAGTTGTGCAGGATGCACGCCGTCCTGACAATAGTGCAGGCGTGCTCAGGATTGACGTTCAGCGGACGCCGGAAGATGCGCCACGTCTGGGAGAGAATCCCGAACGCGTTCTCCACTACCCGTCGGGCGCGCGACAGCCGGTAGTTGAAGATGGTGGCCGGAGCTCCCAGCCGGCTCTCGGTACGTCCGGGATAGGGCCGCATCATGTGCACCGTCAGCGGGAAAGCTTCATCGGCGACGATGACGCTTGGTAGGGTCGTGCCTCTCTGATCGATCGCCTTGGGAGGGGGCAGGTCGAGAGGCACTCTCTCTTGCAGTTTGGCGGCTAGGTCACTCCTCCTAAAAATGCCCCCGTCCGACTCTCTTCCGGCGCTTCCCACTGACGTGTACACGAACCGATAGGCACCGTCCACGGCTGCCAGGAGGACGATGCTGAAGGACTTTTTGTAGTTATAGTACTCGCTGCCAGAGTTGGAAGGGGCTTGGAGTACCACATGCTTCCCGTCCAACGCGGCCACGCAGTTCGGGAAATTCCACTGGGTGCGGAAGATCTCCTCGCTTCGCTCCCACGTCGCCCTGGTGGGAGCTGGAAGCACCTCCGGTCCCAGTATGGCGATGATGGCCGCGCATGTGTCGTACACGATGGCACGCACGGTTTTCTCGCCGAGGCGATAGCAGGGTGCCAGCGCAGAAAACTCCATGCCGGAGGCCAGGTACCGCAGCGTCACGGCCAGGCGCTGAGCGGGGTCGATAGGTTCGCGGAAGTTGGTGCGCTGGCGCGTGATGCTGGGCCCGATCTTGGCGAGAAGCAGGTCGAAGGTCTCCCGACTCATGCGGAAGTAGGCATGGTGCCGGTCGGGATCCACGGCACGCAGCTCCTGCACCAAGTTAAAAAACTCGCCTCGGGCTTGTCGCCTCTGCAGCACTTCGGCAACCCAGTACCTGCGTCGGGCTCGACGGCGCTCCTGCTCCACCCGGATTCGAGTCGTGCTTAGTGCGATTCGTGCGATGTTTAGCTCCATGTCGTGAATAGTTAATTGAATAATGACGGACTTTTAGCTGATGTGAGAACAATAACAAACGTTGTTTACATTTCCGTCCCTGCTAAGAGATTGTATTGTCTTCAAGAACAATTTAATGAACCTTTTACGGTTCATATAAGAAACTGACACAAATTAAACCACGGTCAAAGGCGCAATTAATTATATAAATAATTATTATTTATCTGTCAGTGATGTGCATTACCACAAATTATATTACATTTTCATGCATTTTTTATCGAATTGTCCTTGAGCTATCATGGCGGATCCCGATGAAATCAAATTCATCGCATAGTCATCGTTAAATTAGGCGCCGAAAATGGTATTCAGCGCCTAAACGATTAGGCGCTGAAAGCGCGCCTAACCAGTGGACGGCGACCTAATAGGGTTAAACTCAGAACAAACATTTCCATCGGTTAAAGGTAAACTGTGCATTTATATCACAAATGTACCTGAAACATGCAATATGGAGTATATATCTAAATGTAAAAGAAAGGGATTGAAAGCAAACATGCATCATTTAGAAACAAGTGCCTATCAAACACCTAGATAATCATTGTTCATAGCAATTTTATGTAAAAAAAAAATGGCAAAGTTTCCATGAGCTTCAAGGTCCTGCCAAGTGTTCGTCAAGAAATCAGGAGTGGGTTCACGGGTCAATAACCTGCCCACTGGCGACCGAGCGGCGCCGGCTAACTTGTCACACCCAATCTGCGGTCCCTCATCCGTCCGCTAGCCGGCACCGTTTGCGCCCACCGAGTCGCCATCGGGCGCGCAAAGTTAGTGCGCCCCTAATCTGAATGCGTGGCGGATGAAGCCTCACGCCCGGTCCCGGGAACTTTGCCTCCGTTACAGACGAGCAGCCGGAGGAGCGGCGAAAGGTCAACCGGCACTCTGTGGACAAATGATTAAACGTCGGTAATGTATCAGCGTGCGGTGGCTCGTGGAGTGTGATATAAGGTTCCGCTACTCCAGGGAGTCAACCGAGATTACGAGCTCCAAACCATGTGTTACGAATCAAAATGCTATGGTAATTTATCACAGGTTTTACCCATCTCTCTGTTTCTTCTTCTCTCCATACCGATTTTAAAGAATATACCGATATTTCGTGTTACTGTGCCCACCAATCTCCTTCAAATCGCCACTGATACGACCTTTATCACGACCAGCTATGGCAAACCCCCAGTCTCCCTGGAACCACAGCCACATTGACCTGGGCGTATCGGTAGCCTCCCGATCATCCCTCCCCGCCCCGTGT